GCCAAGCTCAGAGAACCCCAAGGACTCCACAGTTCAATCCTGAGCTACACATATTCGCTTCCATTGGTATTGAACTCTCTTGGATTTACTTCTAAGTAGATGTGCATGGGGCTGCATTGCAGTTATATGTCCATGGAAATGCCCATATCAGATATATGATGTGAATTACCATACTTTTTTTGCAAGTGAATTAAAATCAGCCATGCCTTATTTCTTTCCTCTGGACTTTCAAGCCAGAACACTGCTGAAGTTATGATGTTCTTCCCTTATCTGACATCTTCCAGATGTGTTTGTCATCTGGGCTGAGAATTCTCAGGGTTGTAGTTGTAACACATCTGAAGGGTGCAGGTGTATGTCACAAGATTTGTGTTATTGTTTTAGTGATGCCCTAAAACTCAAACACATTATTTTTTAATAAAATGAATACTGTTTTTACAAGACATCATTTTCTAAAAGAGGCATGTATTTCTTATCAACTACCTTGGATTTAAAACATCTATCATTCTAATAGATCAGTCTTCTCCAAATAGCCAGCTTCCTATAGCTCTTGACCAGTTAAAAAATGTAACCTCTATCGTTAAAAAGGTCCTTGAACTATGTAATTAATACTAGTAATACTTACTCTCATTTTTGCCTTCAGTTCTTTCATCTGTTGCTTCTTCTCCATCTTCTTAGTTTGTTTCTCTTGCCATTTTTTCACTTGTTTACTAAGAAGTCTGTCAGAAATGTCATCTTCGTCAGCTTCAAGACAAACTATAATATCTGGACAAAGTGAACGCTCTGCTAAATACTGGACCTCATCTCCTGTTCGTGGAAAACCATCAAGTATGAACCCAGTAGATCTAAATGGAAACAACATATGGGGAAAAAAGCTGTCACTATTCTTTGGAGGTTTAGTTTGCTTGTTTTTCTACCAAAAAATGACAAAAATATTATACTGTTTTGTGGGTAAAGCTAGCTGGACAACATATTTAGGATCTGGAGGACAGATTTATTTTTCTTCCAAATAATGTTATTAAAAATTATAAATGGAAAGAATAAAAGCCAATACAAAATACAAAACATACAAAGAGAAAAAGGAAAAGAAAAGAAAAAAAGGAGGGCGTAGAAAGGGAAAAAGAAAAGAGAAAAAAGAAAAAGAAAAAAGAAGTAACTTCCCCCTTATCCCAGCAAGTAAAAACAAATTTAATAGCCTATCACTATCTCTAAATACAACATAATCTCTCTTCTTCCCATAGCTCATCTCTTAAGTAAAAACACAAAATGCAAATGCTTTAATAGTTCTTTATCAGCAAAGGCCCAGTAAGGGCAACCAGATGTAACTATTTTACTCTTTTAGCCCTGATCGAACAAATTGACCTTGTATTCCTTCCCAGAGTTTTAAAAAATATTCTTTAGCCCCTTCAAAGAGAGTCCAAGAGGTAGTTTGCCAGTCATCTGTGTACATGGCAAAAGTCTTTCCGAACTTTAACAAGTTTCTTTTCTATATCCAATAAGTAAAGTTTATCCTTTTGTTTGTCACTTGTAATAAAGTCCTTCAAAACCTTAACAGAGCTCTTTTGTATATCCAGTAAGAAAAAAATATCCATATCAATTTCCTGGTTTATTATCTGTACAAGTCCTTTAGGGAATAAGGTATCCTCAGATCCATTTGTGTTACATTTAAGTCCCCCTTCCAAGTAATTTCACAGACATCCATTGCAATTTGTTCTTGTTCTATAACTTTATTACAACACATTCTCAGATAGGCTTGCGCAGACAGTTAAGAGCTTTGGGTAGCTATTGCACCTTAAATTGTCTAACTGTGAATGTGGAAAAATCAAAGGTGGTGGTATTTGGAGAGAAAAGGAAAAGACACAAATGGAGAATTGGGGAATATAATATGGAGCAAGCTTTGGCAGGAATAATAAAGTTCTGTTGTACAAGTGATGGTTGAGAAATTCCTCCAATCCTAACTCTTCTAAAAACCAAGTTAGTTCCTTATTTTTCATATGCAGTAGAATTATGGGGAATTTCTACCCATTATGTTATGGAATTCTTTCAAAACAAGCTCCTCAGAACTATTTTAGGTATATTTAACAGTACTCCTATCCCCTTTCTCTATGCAGAAATTGGTACATACCCAATTAAAGCTAGAATAATTGTAAGGGCATTTAATTATTGGACTAGATTCCTCTCACTACCCGATCCCTGACTTGTCAAGCAGTGCCTCCAGGAGCAAATGAATTTCTCCACTCCTTCTTGCACCCATTGGCTTATGTTTTTATCCAATCATATGCATACCTTTGGTTTTTCTCTGGAATTCTTTTTAAATTCAAATAATGCAAACAATAATCTATTATTTAAAAACAGGGCGCTGAATGAATGTCTTTGCCCAAAGAAATTTGTTTAAATTATCACAAAATAAAATTGCCCCTTGGTATGCAGTTAATAAAACCAAAATTGAATGTGAACATTATCTGAGGTGTGTTACAGTGCCATCCCTCCAAGAGGCACTTACAAGACTATAGTTCCTGCAAATAGCATCAGCAACTAGAGAGGACGATTTCTCAATATTGCATATAATATGTGCTTCTGCACTTGCTCCAAGGAAATTATAGAAGATTTTACCTATTACTTATTGTACTGCCCTATTTCTGCTTTAGTATGTGGAAAATATTTGTAGCCCCTCTTGATAAGAAAATCATTTCGGCCTGATTCATATAAAATTGAATATCTAATGAATTTAGACAAGGCAACACTGCTATGGAAATTAGCAAGCTTTGCACAGGCTGCTGCTATACAGAGAGAATATTTATCAAAAGTTCCTAATGTTTTCTAATATTTTACCTGCTGTAATAACACTGTTTTAATGTTTTTACTGATTTTTGTATATTTTAATGTACAGTGGTACCTCGGTTCACGAACTTAATTCGTTCCACGACTCTGGTCACAAACCAAATTGGTCACGAACCGAATCAAATTTTCCCATAAGGTTCAATGTAAATATGGTTAATCCGTTCTGACCCCTACGAATGTAGTTGCCAACTGATTTTGGTCGCCAACTGAATAAAATTTTCCCATAAGGTTCAATGTAAATATGGTTAATCCGTTCTGACCCCTACGAATGTAGTTGCCAACTGATTTTGGTCGCCAACTGAATAAAATTTTCCCATAAGGTTCAATGTAAATACGATTAATCCGTTCTGAACCATGTTTTTTTTTTTAAACCACAAAAATATGAAACAAAGTACATACAGTACAGTATGAAGAGAGAGAACACTAACCTTGCTTGAGGCGACTTCTGGCATAAAGGACAGGAAGGCGGGTGGGGAGGCGGTTATTGTTTGGAGGGAGAGTCCCCCTCGCCTACAGGAAGCCACGACCACGTGTCACAGCAGGGAAAATGGCCGCAGGTTGTGCTCGTCACCCGATGTGGAGTTCGCGAACGGAAGCAAAATTTTGCGAATTGTTCGTGAACAGAAGCGTTCATGAACCGAGGTATTACTGTATTTTATTAAAGTTTGGCCACTTTTGTGCAGGTTTTATCTTATTTGCTAAACCGGTGGTCAAAACAATAAATGAATTGAAATTTGATTGACAACACCTTCTGTTTATCTTGTCAAGCAATTGATCCTTTCTATTAAGAAGCTTAATAGAGAGATATCCAGAAGTTTGCAATATATAGTTCTGTGCCATATTCTTTATCTGCTCCATATTTTCTATCCTCTAGCTCCCTCTAGTCTCCAAGCTTCAAGGTCTCCTCATTGTAAAAACAGCCAAAACATTCTTATAAAAAAATCACAACACTCACCATTTTCTCATGAGAAAATATATTCTAATTAATTCCAAGCTATATTTCCAAATCCCTCTGGCCCTTTAATCCATTGTTAACTTTCCAAAATCCATTTACTAAGCACCCTTTTGCTGTATAGTCCAAGAAATCATAGATTTTTCAAAATGTTTAAAATCAATTTTAAACCATTATCCTCTAAGGAGGAGGAAGCTCACCTGATCAATACAATAAAATCTTGTTAGTCTGAAGGGTCTTCATCTCTCCAGTAAACAACAACAACAAAAATTAATAATCCAAATAAGGCTTGGTTGAGCTTAATGTCTGTAAAAGGCTGCTTTGTGAGTGTGAGCTTGATGAAATCCTGACTTCCAGCCTCTCCACTCATAAGTTGACTGCAAAATGTCAGTTTCTGTGGTCTACCCATGAGTAGCGGCTGTCCAGAGTCACATGGATAATCTCAACAATTTCTCCTTCTTCTGGAGAAATTTTGCTGGTCCAGATCCAGCATCCAGCTGCGATTCCCTTCACAAAGCTGTCCTGCTAACAAGCAGGATGTCAACTCACCACGGTGTTCCCAGGAAGTATCGACAGATTTATTTTATTCTGATGAATTTGTGTTCCATTTGGAAAAGCAAAAATTCAACTAAAAATTCTCTTAGTAATAAAAGACAGAAATTATTCTGTTTATTGCTTTGGAATAGGTTAGAATGTTTAAGAGACCTGCCAACAATGGCTTATGATAATGCATGAGAGAACAAGTGTTTTAGAGTCACAGAACTGTTAACAATGTTAGTTGCATCAAATAAAGTTTTGTTTCCAAATAATTTCAAGAACTGTGTTCAGTTTGGGGTACACACTTTACAAAAGATTCTGAGGCTCAGAGGACAAGGATGATTGGGGGCTGGAAACATTTCCTGTGAGGGGAGACTGAGGAAATGGATATGATTAACTTTGCAAAGAAACAACAGAGGGGTAATATGATAGTTTTCCTCAAATATCTGAAAGGCTTTATCAAAAGAGGAGGCCTTAATTGATTTTCTATTGTTCTAGAGTACAGAACATTGGATGAATGCTCTTACTGAAAGAAAGATTTCTGTTGAATGTTCTAGTGCCTAAGAGCAGTTCAACGATGAAATCAATTACATTGAGAAGTAGAGAACTCCCCTTTGCTGGATTTGTTGAAGGGAAGATAGATAGCTACTTGCCTTGGATACTGTGCCTAGGATGTTGACACACTGACAATCTCCTCCAGCCCAGAAAAACAGCACTGCCAACAGGTCAAATATTAGAGGGCAGAGAAATGCCATAGCACTGGGTACAAGTGAAAGTGCTTGGGGAATAAAGTCATATTCAATATACTACAATCAATATAAAAGTAATTTATTTTTGTCTTAAGATGATGTGTGAACCAATTTCAAGAAAGGAACCACGGGTTATTTTTGGCAATAAATCAGAAATATTGACTTGTTAGTTTATGTACTGTATTCTGTCTTATTTCATCCATAGTTGTTGCAAACTCTGAGGCAGACTCAAGGCTTATTCTTAGTGATTTTTTATGCTCCTTTCAAAATTAGTGTATTGGAAGAAGAAAGGAAGGAACAAGCCATGAATTGGCCAAACAAGCCCTAATGACCCTGTTGATCTTCAGGACACTTCTGGTTTGTTAAAAAAAGTCATGTTTAAAACAAATCTAGGTTTTGCACTGGCCTTAGAGGGCTTATTAACTTTTATTTAATTGTGAAACTAGTTAGTTGCGTCTTTATAAAAATAAGACTTGCAGAATTAAATATGGAGAAGTACTCTATGTGAAATATTGGACAAACAATATGGTTGATTTATATATTATTTAGAAGTAATTATCATGTGAGACTTACTTTCAGGTAGAATCTACATGCTATATTGAGAAAAAACAGTGAGATTACTTTAAAAATACAATAGTTACCGAAATGGTTCCTTCATCCACCAGTCAAGAACAATATTATCAAGCACTTCCATGGGAATAGGTTCATTTTCTAATATGTTGGCCTTGATTGCTTCTTCCTCATCTGTTAATTGCATTTCTTTCTGTTAAAATGAACCAAAATACATGAAAAATCTTTATCTAATAAGTGGCAATATAATTCAGAACTCTAATTTAAAGATTTTACATAACTGAATGTCTTTACTTAACTTCCTTTTATAATTACATTGTTTAAGTTATATGGCATAATATTTTACATACCTTAAAATTAGGTAATTTGAATGGGAAATATATTTATGGAGCAAGTGTATATTCAATTTGTTCTGGTGATATAGCTATGTACAAGATAGATTTTTTTTTTTTTAAGTGAAACACTATCTCCTAGGTGGCTAAATTCTGGATTATATTGGTTCCAAAGGAGAGTCCCTTGTACTGGTTTCCAGGGATATGCACTCATCCCATGCATATTAATTGTGATATTACTGAATTGTCAGTTATGATTTGCATGTGACAATAAGTCATCTTGGAGATAAAGCTTTTCTATCACCTTTAACTCAGCAAATTACATCCAGATATCATTGAGATGACTTCCATTCATGGCATGTTTCCATTCATGAAGTAAGACTAGCCATTTTTTCTACTGCCCTTTTCCAATGTATCGCTTTGAGTATTCCTCTATTCTGGAGCCTTAGAGAACTATTATGAAAGTTGGCACATGGGAAATCTTCTCAGAACTGCAGTTCCTTTCATGAATGAAATAAACTGTTCAATCTGAAGAAGGGCTACGCTTTTCAGTGAAATTAATCTATATCTGAAGTTAATTTGCATCTTGTTTTCAGTGGCTATACCACAAGAGTAGGAAATCTACCAGATTTCTAATTTTTACATCCATTAAAGACATTTGAAGACCATCTGGAAGCTTTAGCTAGTCCAGAATGCAGCAGCCCAGGCAGTGATGGGCATGCCTCGATACGCCCATGTAACACCTTGGCTTTGCGAGCTGCACTGGTTGCCAGTTTGCTTCTGGGTACGATTCAAGGTGCTGGTCACTACCTATAAAACGCTACATGGCACAGGGCCTAATTACTTGAGAGACTAGTATCTCCCATAGTATCTGCCCAGCTGGCTCGATTCTTCAGGGTTGGTGTGTTCCGGGTTCCATTGATTAAGCAATGCCATCTGTCAGGACCCCAGAAGCATGCTTTCTCTGTAGCAGTGCCTGCCCTCTAGAATGAGGTTGCTGTTTTAAGGAACTGCTTTTAATATTAAGTCTATTTTGCATTATTTGTCTATGTAATTATTTTAAATGTATGCTTTAACTTGTAAACAGAAATGTCTGCTATAAGTTAATAAATAAAACGATTAGGTGTAAATCATCCTTACACATCAAACAAATCCATCCACATCCTAGGCATCAAACAAATGCCATATTTTGTTCTTCTATTTTGTTTCACTTTAAAAACAAACTGAACTATTCTCTATGCATTATTTCAGTAACTCTCAGTTTAAGCTGATAATGATACTATCATTCTTAAATCCTATGTAAATTAAAAAATAAATAAACCTGGCTTCCAGGTGAGGACCTATGGCAGTTTAGACGTCCCTGTGAGCGTCTCTGCAAGTAGAGACAGCATCACAGTGAAAATTGGTGGCCAGTTCTGGCTGACGAAATTTTCTCTGGAGAAGGAGAGATCGAGAGATCGCCCACTTGTGCTAAGGATGGCTGCTCCTCATGAGGAGACTGCAGGAATTTAGTTTCTTGCAGTTGATTATGGGTTGAGCAGCCTGGAAGCCAAGGGATTACCATTGTGCTCAAAAGCGCTGTGTAGCCTTTATGGACACTTGAGTCACCTCACTTTCTTAAACACTTTTGGATATAATTAATTTACAACTTAAGAGAGGTCTTCCAATGGGCAGGAAAGAATGAAGACACACAGTGGGTCACCTTCTTTTTAGAATTAAGTAGAGGGGAAAAAAATACTATCTTAAAGGCTTTTGACCTAAAAGTAAAAAGCTTAACAAGATTGTGATTTAAGAAAGTTTTAAATGAATAAAGGGGACAGTAATTTTAGAAAACAAAACAAAAAAAATTCTTTGACAAAAAAAATAGTGCCTTTGAAAATAGTAAAATTAACTAGACAAACAGACTGGAACTTCATGGGAATGTCGATTGTTTATTATTAAGGAAAGTAGATAATTGGTGGATTTTACAAAATAAGACTATAAGGGTAATATGAGCCAGACTGTGCGACTGTAGCTATAGAGAGCTAATTGGGACTAAAGTGTTAAAGACAGAGAAAAGCAAAACAGGAAAGAAATGGAGAAGCTTGCCTTTTACTTTCATCCTGGTAATTGACATATTTTCACTTTTGGGCCACAAATATTACAATGGCAATCACAAGAAAAGCAGCAAAAATAGGAGAAGGAAGGAGAGGTTCGCTAGAACAACTTACAGACAAGGGCATCACCCCAGATTTATTGAAGAAAATGTTTGAGGAATTTGGCAAGATGACGCCTGAAACAACTGGCAATAGTTTGGATGCATTTAAAAAGGAAAGGGAAGAAGGATTTTCAGGGATAAAAAAAATGGATATGAAAGAAGAAGAATACTGAAGAATCTGTAGAACAATTAGCTGGAGATGTAAAACAAATTAAAATATCACATCTTGTTTTAACTTTCAAATAATGATTTTTTCCCCTCCTTTGAGGAGCATTTGCTCCATTTATATTCCATATTAAGCATTTATAACCCATAATTAAGCCAAGATTTTAGAAAAATCAATACCTGTAGCACCCAATGTGGTAACATATTCAGTGTCCTGTTGTATCTGTTGTGGCATTTGTTTAGTTGCATCTGTCATTGTCTCTTCCATTTGCATTTTCTCCAGTTGCAAGTGGACATTTTGGAAAGTAAGACAGAAGTTATAAACAGAGATGGAGAAAGATTTGGATAACCTGGCATTATTGGAACTGAGAGAAAAATAATTTTAAGATTTAGAGCAATTCCAGAAGCCTACAGGGAAGATATCAGAGAAAAGACTGTTAAATTTCTGTCTAACTTTTTGGATTGGGATGAAGATGACACAGAGGCAGAGACTGACAAAATTTATAGTATTACTACATGATTTGCAAAATTAAGGAACGTTCCAAGGGATGTCCTTGGGCACTTTGTCAGGAAGAAGACTGGAGATCAAGTTCTGCAGCAGCATTTTAATACTAGATTGAGGATTGATAATACTTAAGTAATTGTACTTAAGGAAATTCCAATTAGAAGATTGCACCTCTTCTTCTAATTGGAATTTCCTTAAGTACAATTTTTTTTTCCTGACAAACTCAAACAGAAAAAGATTCCATTTAGATGGGATAAGCTAGAAGGGGTGATTTTTACATTTAAACAGCAGAGATACAGGTTGAACTCTGTGCAGAAAGTAAGAGACTTTCTGGGAAAATTCAAAGAAGAATTGGAGAAAATGCAAATGGAAGAGACAATGACAGATGCAACTAAACAAATGCCACAACAGATACAACAAGACTTTCTGGGAAAATTCAAAGAAGAATTGGAGAAAATGCAAATGGAAGAGACAATGACAGATGCAACTAAACAAATGCCACAACAGATACAACAGGACACTGAATATGTTACCACATTGGGTGCTACAGGTATTGATTTTTCTAAAATCTTGGCTTAATTATGGGCTATAAATGCTTAATATGGAATATAAATGGAGCAAATGCTCCTCAAAAGAGGGAAAAAAATCATTATTTGACAGTTAAAACAAGATGTGATTTGCTTACAAGAAATGCAGGTTAGGAAAAAGGATATAAAATAGAGTCACAAAAATTTGGGTGAAGAATTTATTTCAGCAGGAATGAAAAAAAGAAAAGAAATGGAGTTGTTTTGTATATAAACTCTCAATTATTGTGATGGACTGGAATGGTGGGAGGGGAGTAAAGAATGTGCTCTCATCTCCAGAGGA